ATTACATACCAATATACCTCCACTCTCTTCGTCGTCGACAGCTCTTCTGGTTGTCTTTGTCACTGTCATCAGCTGCTTCCATGAAATCTCAAATGAGAGAATCACTGAAAGCACCCAATGCTGCAATATAAACAAGAATGCCAGATTATGTCTCATGGTCATGATCATCGCCATTTCCATCGCTAGCACTGTTACCGGTTTACCACTTCAATGTGCACGTAGTGCAAAGTTAAGCTGTATCTCAATTAGTCAATCTGTGTCTGTGTGCTTCTCTTACTTTTATTAACTGGACCAGATAAATGGTCATCAATTGCGGCTAAGCTTTGTTTGTTTGCTTCTGGGTCGAGGGATACTCAACCCTAAGCTACCACAGCATCAACAGTATGGCAGCCAATGTCCACTGATCTTCTTCATCACTGAGAATCGTCCCTCGTCCCTCTCCCTTATTGTACGTTGTACCTGAATTATATATATCCTAAGACAAAACCATCATGATTCAGGTTTCCACTTCACCACTACAATCCAACCACCACCACACCAAGTCACTAACGCCACCACCTCCTATTCCACCAAGCTATAACTTTTCCTTAGTGATAATTCTAATTATAATCCCGTTGTCGTTTCAGGCGACATGGGTCCTGTTTGAGATATATTCTTTATTCCTTCTGTTTTCCATCTTTCCTTAAGTCAGTATCGATCCCATGATGCGATACTCACAACCCCACAATCTATTTGTGCACATGATTCAGATCCCATGTTTCATATAAGAGCGGCTTTCTTCTTCCTTTCAATCCTGGGAGCTAGGTTGGTTGATGTTGGGAAAGCGATGTTGGTGAGGTTCAATCCGAAGACTGATTTACACTTGAACTGTGGAAACGATCTCAGATTGAGCCGCGCCAATATCACTTTCTGTACAGGCCTTAAGCGGATTACTCCTCTTATCTTCATCTTCAGCTTCAGCTTCTTCTATGTCTGATCATAACCTGTCTGTCTATCTACCTATCTTCTCATATTCTCCTTTGCATAATGTTCTGTATATGATATTATTCTTCGCTTCTGACACAAAACTTTTATTTTATTTGTGGAATTAGCTTCGTAAGGACAAAAGGCATTGATGGGTAGACTCCTGTTTTATTATTATAAGAAATCTCTTCTGTCTATTGCCAACAGTTTTTTGAACCCTTACATTGAACATGCTACCGTTTTGCAGGTAAAAGGCAGGTTACTTCCCCCATTAGTTAGGAAAGACAGGTTTGTTATTCTAAATGCATGCAACATGAGTTTCAATGAGAACTTCCATGATTTTTTATGTTGATAAACCAGGTTGACACAGATTCTCTCTTTTTGTCTTGAACTTCTGCAACTAGATATCTATATATACCAAGAGTATGAACAGCCAAAACTAATCTAAATGGGAAAGATGCATGATGAGCATCAAAGCGGAATACACTAATTAAATGGGGATTCTCTATTTCTTTCATTGATTGCTTGTATTATTTATTGTTAGACCAAACTACAATCTATTCTTTAGTAAAAACATCAGAACTCTCGAGCATCAAGAACAAGGAGAAGGAAGATATTCCAATAAAGAGAAGAACAAACTTCTATTTATCACTCTTCTGGTATGCTTTGTTCATAGATGAAATAATAACCATGGCTAAGCTTGTTATTTGATTCTTATCTTCTTTTCTTTTGTTGAAGGCAGGGATTGGTTCATTTAACCTGTTTCCTCATCAAGCAAGTAACTAGATACTTTAAAATACGGAAATACAGGATATATGATCAAGTGATAAGCATTAATTCTTACAACAGAGCTTTTCATGTATAAGCAATCTGGTTATCTATTTAGGGCCTTTGTTTCAGCATCTTATACATACTTTATATTGTTTTTCAGTATGTGCCAGCAGTGTTTATTCTTTGCTGAACAAATATGTTTCTTTTATTCTGTTGTTCTGTGTAACTTGAATTATTGCAGGAGTTTGACTTTGGAAATGTGGGTGACCTAAAATTGTTCCAGAGAATAAGACGATTTTAACTTTCAAACTGGAGACAGCAACGGTATTCTGTATTCAGAAAAGATGATGTCCCAAATTCAAGAGAGATATAGAAAAGAGAAAATGGAATCAAGATGTATTACTAAGCTGGAATCTGTATGAAACTATCTGTATTTTATAATCTCTTTTCCTCATCGGTGTAATTAATAAAGTTATCAGAATGTTATCAGATGAGTTTCGCACCCGTAAAACGCAACACCTTCCCAACTTTCTCAGTTGGATCATTCAGGAGTTGCATTTTAAGTGAAGAAACCAAAATCCTGGTTCCTGGAGAAGAAATTATACATATTTCCTGCTCTTCTCAATTTCATTGCGAGTTATTGGCACCTTAACCTATCATTCTTACCAATATACCACAGCTGCATATGTTCATCAATGGTGGTAAAATTATCTGCAGTCTCTCTCTCCCTCAACCCCCTCTCTTCCTGTGTGTGTGAACAAGTCCTTTTGCTTAAGATATTGAATGTTGGGACTTTGTGATTATGTTTGAAAAGATGATTGGCAGGAACTATGAATGGTTTGTCCATTTTGAGGAATGCTCATGATGATGATGTACTGGAGAGGACCTCCATTTCTATATTGGGTACTCCAGGACAATTGAGGACCCACCAAGAAGCAGTTTCTATAAGATATGCTCACCTGAATGTTTACCTGAACACAGCTGATCCTACTTCTGTAAATAACTCTTATAGACGTGTATGCATCCTTTTTGTCTCCCATAATAAGAACTACACTACTGTTGTAAATTCCCATGAATCCATTTTATTTTCTTCATCTTCATGCATTTTCTGTCTGCTTCTTATTTGTCAGTCTTGGGCATTTACATTACTTTCCTCCCTTATCTTTCAACTGTTGGAGAAACCAATCTGCACTGACTGGATATCAGCTATCTTCTACAATCTATACTGTATTCAATAATTCTCATTTTTAATGAACAAAGAACAATATGAGTCATTTTATCATGGACAAATAATGGGTTAAATGCTCATATGGGCCTTCTTGACTCAGTTAGATAGAAATATAATTAAGGCCGACCTACCCTTCAGAATGTTCAAAAAGCACGGGATTTTACTTAAAACTTGTTTAATTTCGTTAGCTAAAATAATTCAAACCAGGATATTACTGATATAAGGTCATACACAAATTAGATAAATAAGATTGTGAATCATTGAAATAACATTTATCCACATTCAGCTATAAATCAGATGAAGTCCAAGTACTAATGTAGTAATGTGTGATGATGATCCTTTGATCAATATGATATTTAATCAGCAGTGGGCAAGTTATGGGCCCAATTAGATGATAAAATGAGTTTTCGGATCATAATAGTTATTAAGGTGATTCTCTCCAAAATAAGTTATAATTGCTATTTAATCCAATGTCCATTTCTGCTTGAGTTAGGTCCACCTTTTGTGCTTACCCAAGGCTCTCAACATGGTTACATCCATCAGTTGAAGTTTAGAGTTGGGTTCAGACTTCAGACCCAAATCATTCATATAACTAGGGCTGTCATGGGGCAGGTCTGACCCGATGAATCCGGGACTGAACCGATTGCATCGGTTCTGGTTCTTTTTTTTTTTGTCCCAATTATTATTGGTTCAGGACTGGTTCTGCCCTGTCCCAAACCGATACATATATATTAAATACATAATATATTAATTAAATTTATATGCAATATTTAATTTCTAAATGTCCAAAAGGATCATTTCACTAAGTTTTTTTTCCAGTTGCTTCTTCTTCTGGCAGGGAACCATCGGATCAGACCCGATAGACCCAAGAAGCGGTCGGTCGATTCTGGATCTAAAATTACAGACCCTGATTTGGTTCCAGGACTTTGATATTTCTTATCGGTTCAGACTGGTTCTATCTTATCCCGACTCATATCCGATCCGTTGACAATCCTACTTCCTACATATAAGCAAAGTACATTTAGATCCACTTCAATGGGCCCATTTTTTTATATCAATGGGCCAATTAAAAACACCCACTTGAGCAAATATTTTTCCAACAATGACAGTTTCGAAATCACCTCTGCGCCCCACAAACGCCCTACGTGCACATCTCAACGTGCATTGGGAACATCTCCCACACGGTTGGGATATGCTGTGGGGCGCAGATGTGAATTCGACAATTTCCTCAGAAAATAAAATATGGGGTGGGGAGGCCCTCTACCACTGGCACACTCCTCCAGTTTTGTATGTACTTGGGCGATAGCTGACATGTCCGAAGCCCAGCCCAGTACAACGACACAGACCCACCCAGAGAATCTGCCAAACCCATGGCCCATTTATGTAATGATAACTCATTCTTGAAGTTAGAGCAGACTCAGGTTGATACATCAAGTCCTTGTTTGGTAATAGCAATCCCTGAAAAAGTAAAGTTCTGACTTATCTCGAAATCCAATCAGGGATGACCAACTCATATCACAAGTCATCTTTTAACCATCAGATTTTCATCAGATGGCAAGAATACATTCCGATCCAATGACAAAAGAGATGAGGTATCAGGTAGTGCCCTCTTTTATTTGGAGAAGAAAAGGTGAACTGAAAACCCATATGCTAGGCTGGGCCTGATGGCTCGTTCAGTTAAAAGCCCAGACCAGCCCATGTACGAGATATAGCCGTTGGTCCCCTGGCAAATCAAAAAGCATGAGAAGACAAAAAACAAAAACCGGAGAGAATCCAGGCGTACGTACAGCCGAAACCTATCACTAACCGTCGCCGTTTTCTAAGCCAATCCAATTTAACGGAAAAAGAAAACAGCTGAAATGACTGAATTGAATGGACTTACAATTTTGTCTTTTAGTGAATAAAGTCTGAAATTAAATTGCCCAGAAGGCCCAGAACATCTGGAATAAGTAATTCAGTTCAGCCAGTTCAGCCGTTATAAAAAACAACAGTTAAAGAGAAATAGAGAATGTTGGAGTTGGATTCGGATTCTCTCTCTCTCAGTCCCAGAAGGCCCAGAACAAACATCTCCTATCTGTCATTTCGTTTGCTTCTCTGGAAGAACAATTCTTTCTTCTTCTACCCATCTCTGCTTCGTCGACACAGAACCTCAGAAACACGAAAAAGCAAAACAGAATCCGGAACCCAAAAAGAAAAAGCAAACCCTAACCCAAGCCAAAACCCCGCCAAAAGCGATGCGTGTTGTTCTCCCTCAGGAATCTCCGTCAAGGCCTGTGAATGCTGCATGGTCACCTTTCATGAAACCAGAGAATAGAAGAGAATTTTGAGAAGCTTGTGTTGTTGGGTTTGATAGAGGAGAGAGTGGTTGGTTGGGTTCTGTTGATTTGATGCGATGTTAACCATTGAATGCGATGGTAAACCTAGGCTTTCGGATGAGAGGCCTCTAGGTGGTAGGCAGCTGTTCTCGCCTCTGCTCCACGATGGACTACCCCGCCGGAGCTTTACGTACCAAAAGCTCCCTCAGCAGCTCTTTAAGCTCACTATTCTCAAACTGGATGGTTCGTGCTTTGGTAATTGCAGTTACCTGTATAACTTTGTCTCTGCATTTTTTTTTCCTTTTTGAATGGATGGGATCGTGCATTCGCATTTGGTTTGGATATTCAGTGTGGACACTGTTTGGGTTTTGACTGCAATGCTGCAGATGTTGAAGTTGCGAGAATGGCTTCTGTAGCGGAACTTAAACAGGCGATAGAGGATGTTTTCAGTGTGTCTCCAAAGGAAGAACATAGCAGGATATCTTGGTAAGCTCATCGCCATTTCAATCACATTGTAAAGTTATGATCTTAATATAATCCTTGGATGGAAAATAACGAGAGATGAAAAGGGAAATTGATTTAGCATTGAGTTAGTTCCCTGATTTTTCTTATTACCTGAAGCAGAAAAGGAAAGCTGAACCGTATATTGATTTGATAGTTAAATGGCCCAGTTATAGGAATTATTTCCTTTTAAACTTGTCGATGCAGGTCTCATGTCTGGGGCCATTTCTGCCTATGCTTTGAAGGTCAGAAGTTAATCAATGACAAAGCATATCTCCGGAATTTTGGCATAAAGGATGGTGACCAGGTGTGCATAGGTCTTATTTATTCCTTTTATGGATCTGCTGTGCATTAGTGTGAACTTTTCATTCTGTTTTCTGGATGATTAATGATTCGCACTAGTGAATGTAGCATACCCACTCTTTTTCAACAGAAATAGCAAAAAACTTATTCACGATCTTACATGTAAACATCCATAGAAATTTAAATATTGGCAGGCATGCATCCTAGGTGCATATATTTGTGCTACCAGATTCTGTTGTCACACTCTTGGTGAATGATGACCTTCTTTCCTTTGTACCCTTGACCAGGTGTGCATTGTTCTGATTTATTCCTTTTATGGATCTGCAGTGCACTAGTGTGAACTTTTCATTCTGTTTGCAGGAAGATTCATGATTCTCACTAGTGATGTAGCATTTCCATCCTTTTTCAACAGAAATAGCTAAAAGAACTTGTTCATGATCTTACAAGTAAACATCCATAGAGATTTATATATGACAGGCATGCGGTGTATATATTTGTGCTACCAGGTTCTGTTGTCACACTCTCACCCTTCTTTGCCAAACATTAATGGGTAAAATATGTATGTACACCGAAAGGCATGCACAAGTAAAAGAGTTCACGTCTGCTGCTGTGGCCTTGGTTGCAGCACTTCCTTGCAATCCACCTATAAAACATGGACATGCCAGCAATTATTTTAAATACAAAATAACAAATAATCTGTTTTTTTTTTTTTGTTTAACTGCTGGCAGATCATTAGGTATTTTAAATTTAAAACATTTGCTGGCATGCCACCTTTTATTAGGGAATTAGAATAACTATTGCAATCATGGTCGCAGAAGATGTGTTCTCAAGCAAAAACAATATTACAGCAGTACAATTTACAAAAGAAGTTTCTTGATTTATCAGAGTGTCAATTTTATTCTGAAAACATGGATAGAACACTCAACTATTACAACTTGCCTTCAAATGATGTTGACTCAAACTAATCCACTAGTCATAATTAGTTATCATTACTTAGTATTGTGTGTTTTCATTGATCAAATGGTGTCCAAATACTTCTCACTTTTTAATATAATTAAGTCTTAAAAAATACTGAACTAGGACGCATGGCATCTAATAACCTGAACCCAGCAGCTTAGGTTTACCCATCATGAGCTCAATCCTAACCAAAAGTTGGTGCACATAAAGCCTTCTCCTTCTCTATCCCTACTTTTTAATTTACTAAATGTGCCTGTTATTATACAGTGGGGTGTCAGGATGATCTTTGAGTGGAATAGTTTTCCATGGGAAACTTGGAGTTATTGACTTAGTACTGGTCTGATGGTATCTTGATCTCATATGTGGGGGCAAATACAGATGCCCAACTGCTGTTCTATTGGTTGGATGCGATTTTTCAAGAATGGTCATGTGAAAGGTGGTAGACATGTATTTTTTGAACATTGTGTTGGTTTTGCTCTGTAACTTTTTTTGTCTGTTGCCCTTATTTCTGGTTATTCTGGTTATACCATCTCTCCCCCTTGTAGTAGCTGGATCTACAAGTTTTCCAAGTTAAATTTCAATGGAAAAGGCATGCCTGACACAGGTTATGCTTTTCATCTGTAGAGGAATAACTGTTCCTAAATGTGGTACCCATTCATGTAGCGAGGAGTCCTAGTGGTTGAGGATGAAGTTCCCTCTTTGATTTTTTGTCATGTCGAGAGTTTCTATTGGCATCCCATATCTCCCTTTTAGGATGAAGTGGATTCTCTAATTTCGTTTGGTGGTTTAAAACATAGTTTTCAAGGTGCCAAGACAAAGCTAGGCGATAGGGGAGTGCCTTGTTGCCTAGTTGCTTAGGTGGGCATCTAGGCATCACCTAGGAATGAGTTTTTTAAAATAAAAAAAATATAAATCCTAGGGTAATAAGCAGTATTCTTTAACTAATAATTACCATAATCCTCAAAAGATGGGAAACCAACATGTGAGAAGAAAAATAAGAAAGGAAAGAAAACATACAAAACATAGGGGCTGAGCCCTTGTTTTGGGTCCTAGGAAGAAGATGATGATGATGATGAAGAAGTCCTATTGATTGTTCTTGTGTGTGAATTGGATAAAATCTTCAAGTTACTTCTACTTATCAATTCAGGTTTTAAAGTTTTAAAGGGTTGAAGACTATAGGGCCAATGCGCCGTTTGATAACAAATGAACAGAAAAGCTTATTACTTTGTCTTTTAGTGAATAAGTTTTTAAAGAGGTTGTAGGTTCCTTAATGGCTGAAACTGAAATTGGATTGATCACCGTACCCTTGAGAGTTTTATTATTTATTTTATTAGCTAAAAGACAAAGCAGTAAGTCTTTCAGTTCAGCAACTTCAGTCATTATCAAATAGCCCCTATGTCACTAACTTGTGTGTCGACTGAACCCAAACAAGAAAATAATAAAACAAAAAATAATACTAGTACTATAAGCCTACAATATGAATAATTTAGTCTAATAATATCTATTGTACTACTATTAATTACATAAAAAAATATAAAAACATTATGTGCTATCTTGCATATAAATATTATGCGTTTGGGCAATGCAACCCTCCAAGAGAGTTTTCTCTTCTTTAAATGTTTTAGATAGCTTATATTGTTAAGGATCCATTTCTGTTCTATGGAAAACCAACTCTCTTTCTGTTGTCTTGATGAATTGGCAAGTCTTTTGAGTCGATTCCCTTTTTGGGTTTCTTATGCTTGGGAATGTTCCTTGTTCTCTTGCTTTCTATGCTTTAACTCTTCTTGATGCCTTATCTCTTGTTTGGTTTTGGGGATGCATGAGATGACTAAAACATGTTTCCTATAACTGTCACGTTTCCTGTATCTTGAACCTGGCTGATCTTTCTTGTTTTGGTGCTTGCAGCTTCATTTTATCCGGCATTTGTCAATTAATTATCGCCCAATGAAGAGACGATCTAAACATCACATTTCTGCTTGTGAAGGGCACACCACCAGGTAAGGACCTGTCCTGTTCATTCAGCTGCTCTGAAAATTAATGTCAAGTCTGGTCATCTGCAGTCGGGCTACTGGTTTCAGAGTAAACTGATACCAAAAGGCCTTTATTACCAATCCAGCCCCATTAACAAGTCCCCCTTTATACCAATTTGTAAAGCTAAAATCACATGATAATATGTAGCTGGTTGCATCACCTGTTTGGGTTCTTTATATGTTCGATGCTTCTGGCCTCCTCACATATTCTCTGCTTATTTTTACCGAAACTCATTAGATCCTGTGAATGCCAAAACCTTATAACTAAAAAATGAATTTGTATAGGTCGTCACCAGGGTTAAATGCCCCCGAGGATAAAGAACAACATGTGGATGATGATGACCATGATGATAAAGGTTGCAATGACAACGAGGAGAATGACAAAAATAATCAATATGAAGATGACGAGGGGCAATATCTCATCGGACATTCAGAATTGAAGTTAGCTCACTTTTTGAGGGGATGGCTCTCTTATTCAAGATTGAGGTATTCTGGGAGAAAAAGGACACAAGGGAAAACTCACCCTAGACGGTTTGTAATACAGTTCTTAAATTTTGGGGCAAAGGCAACATGGCCCTAAAGGTAAAAATCCACTTCAAGGAGACAAATGAAAGGAAGTTGGTTCCAAAAAGATCATGCTACTGATCCATAAACAGGCACAACAATTCAAATGTTGTTGAACTGATTCTGGACATGTCTAAGCTTTCAAAATCAAAAAGATGTTCTCTTCAAGGGCTCTCAGAAGTGCATTTCTGATGCAGAATTTTCTGTTAGCACATGAGGATTAGTTCATTGTTAGTTAGCTTTGCTCTGTCCATTTGTCATGGATGGCTTACTTTCTTGATTGAACCTAAATTTTTACTGCAATCCAAGGAGATTGCACACTATCGGTAGTTCTCCTACATCTAAATGACTCAAAACAGTTAGATGGTAATCAATTCCAAGTAATGAAGCATCAAAGCTACTGATTTTCTAATTACTAACCCATACTGCTTTGTTTGGTTTCTTGGAAAATAAGTGAGAAAGGGAAAGAACTGAAAATGCTCTCAAGGCAGCCTAAGTGGTGCGCAGAGATTGTTCTGGACCTTCTGGGCCAGCATATTGAATCCAATTAGACCTGACAATCGGGGGTTTGAATCGGTTTAAGTCATGGAAAGAATTTGCATTAATCCAACCATTTTTCTTATATACTACCAAAAAAAACCAATTTTCTTATATATTCCATTACTTGCAACTTGCAAACTGGTTTCATGAATTTTGAATTTTTTGAAGGTCTACTCATTTTCCAAATCCAAAGATCATGCCTGCACCACTTTTTGAACATTAGTTTTCAGTTTAGAAAAATAGAGGATGGGGATCCACTATTTTTACACTGCTTTTTGTGCTCATGAACATTTTATATTGCTTTAGGCTCAGGTTTCGGGTCAGGCCCGTTCAAATTTTGGCAATAGATCAACCTTAGCCCGACTCATGAACAAGTCTAAATCCCAAGTGTCAACTTATTTAGGGTGGAATGGAGTGCTCAACAAAGTGCAGAAGCTCCCAATGAAGTGCCCAACAAAGTCAAAATCAATTTGGATGGATTGGATGGACCAATAAGACATTTAATTGGACCAATGCAGACTTAATGGTCCAAAGTATTTATTGGATGGATTGGACCTGGTCCATCTGTAATGGATTTATATTGGATTGAGTTGGATTGAACCAATATCTGGTCCAAAATATTACAATTACACACACACACACACACACACAATTAGGGGTGGGTTGGGTTGGGTTGAAGGTCAACCGAGCCCCAACCTTAAAGGCTTAAACCTCGAGCTCAAGCCTGGTCCAATCCGAGGTTAAGCCCAAATTTATTAACACAGGCTCAATCCAAGCTTAACCCCAACACAATTTGGGTTAGGTTCAAGCTCGGGCTAGGCTGTTTGGGTTATTTAAGCTTGGATAGGTTTGAAATAACTTACGTATATATTTTTATGTATTCATCTTTTGTTGGACTTTATGACCCAATTTAAAAGCAGAATTAATTGAAAACATGTATAAATTTCATTCACAAATGTATATGTCCATTCTTTATATATATAGTTGGAATTGGGTTGGGCTGGGCTTTGGTTACCCAAGACCAACCCAAGCCGTGCAAAAAATTCAAGTTGGATTGGGCCAGGCTCAGGTTGGACCCATCCAAGTTTCACCCTTTATATGTCATTGTTTTAGTCTCACCCGTAAATTATAAATAGGTACCATGTACTTTGAGAGTTTGGGATAGTAGCAATTGAGGGCCTAAAGTTTCTACTGCAATAGTGTAGTACATAAAGTTTTTAGAAATATATACTTGAATCCAATTCCATCAAAATTGACGTTAAGAAAAAATAGAAAATCATAAAAATGTCTGTGTTCATATTCTCTTTTTCATCTTCTACTTTGGGACGTAAAAAGTGGCAGCAAAAAATTTTGGTGGGTGGTACATTTATATGGGTGCAGAAACCAAACTCAAATGTTTTTATTTGTTTTTGGATGCTTTTAGGCTCAGTTTATTAGGAGTACAAATACAACTATGTACAGTGCAAATACATGTAAAACAATACAAGGTTTTGCACTCTACATATTTGTATTTATACTCCATCCAAACTGAGCCTAGGTACAAATTTTAGTTGCTTTTATTATTCTATGAATCAACGTTTCTTTTGTGCCACCACTGAATTGTGTCCAAGGTGGTAAAGAAAAGGGGTTAATTATTTATAAATATTCTGTATATTTAGGAAACTAATTAAATATACATTAAATTTTTAAAACCTACTATGGTAAGTTTAATAGATAAAATAAAGAAAACAAAAACATCTTTAACTATTCATTAAATTTTCAAAATATGTCATTTACTTTTTTTTCTTTCTTTCTATCTTCCTCTTCTTTTAACTTTGAAAGATCGATGCAGCTTCTTCGAAGAAATTGGAGCGGTAGGGCTTTCAATCTTCATCTCTAAGCCGGAGGTCCACACTTCTGGGTCCGCTTTATGCCCCCACGTTTTCCTCTCCACCTTTTTCCACTCCATCACAAGTCCAATTTTAACAAAGTGTCCTTTCTTTTACGTTAATTTGTTTGTAATGCCCAATTTTTTGGATCTTCTCAATCAGAGACGGTCTTTAATTTATTTTCAACCCCTAAATGCTATTATAAGAAAATACATCTTCTCAATCATCCATTGAAATTGTTTGGTTTGTAGAGGACCATGACCAAACTCTGCTCTTTGCCCAGAATTCGGTCTCCACCTCTCTACCTAATTCATGCCCATGCGTATTTCCTCTACACTTTCTTATATGTTACCTTGTCCTTTCCCCTTAACGGCTCCTAACCCTAGTGACAATGAAAACCTTACAAAGTTGAATCCATCCATAACGATAATAATACAATTTTGATCTGTTAAAACCTGGGTTCTCGGTCCTGATTTTTTCAACCATCCATCTCTTTAATATATAAAATTTTTTGGGTTTTGGTTTTTAGTTATAGAACTGGTGGGGCAATATTGTTATTATAAAAACATTTAGAATAAGATGTTAACAGCTATTAACAATGCAGTAAGGCCCCGTTTGCTTTTTGGTAAGTTATTCGGATAAATGCAATTATTTGGGTAAGTTTTTCCTAAGAAACATTTACCCAGGTAAGTGTATTTACCCTAAGGGGGCATTATTTTTTTGGATTTTGAGAGGGGAAAAAGTTGGTCAATGGGATTTTGATTTCCATTGACCAAGAATACCATGTCCATTTTTCTGATTAATGTGGGGATCAAGTAAAGTTTATTTTCTTGGGAGTGATACCCATCTCCTAGGTGGGTAAATAACTTTCCCGCCTAGGAGGAAAGTTGCTAACACTTGAATGGGACAAAAATGCCCCTTTTAATAATGGATCTTTATGATTAAAATGGCCATTACCCTATTTACCTGAGAAATAAAAGAACATGGGTAAATGCACTTACCCGGGTAAGTGTTTCCCAAGAAAACTTATCCAAGTAATTGCATTTACCCGAAGAAGTAACTTACCGAAAAATAAACAGGGCCTAAGAAACATTTACCCATGTTCTTTTGTTTTCCAAGTAAAAAAATGAAATGACCATTTTAATCATAAAATTTCATTATTAAAAGGGGCATTTTTGTCTCATTCATGTGTTGGAAACTTTCCTCCCAAGTGGGAAAGTTATTTACCCACCTAGGAAATACCTAGGTAAATAAACTTTCCCAAGTCCCCACATTAATCTGAAAAGGAACATGGCATGGTTTCTTGTTTAATGGGAACTAAAATCCTATTGACCAACTTTCCCCCCTCTTAAAATCCAAAAAAAAGAATGGCCCCCTAAGTGTTATGAGTCTGGATCTGCTCCTCATAAAGCCCTGTTCAAACCCACCTCGCAACACCTCCATTAGCACATTAGAAACAACTCCCATATTTTGTGCTGTTATTCGAAGGAAGATGTTTCCAATGCATGATGGGATAGGGCTGCAAGGTGTGTTATGTGAGGAATAAATCTCCATTCATGTGCTATGTGAGGCCATCCATCAATAAGGTATGTTTAAATTGGCTTTAAAAGTTCAATATATACATAAGTTCTCAAATATACAGGCATATATGGAAATAATCCAAATAAAGGTATAAATACCTTCAAAATAATAGTATAAATTGAATAGGGCATTTTAGTAGTTTTCGCTCTGTAACGTCGGTTTAACAGAGTTAAAGCTAAATGTATGGTTTTTAAAAACGAATCAGTGACCGAACCGGCTAGGGGTCCGATTACTGGTTCAAACGGCTGGCCCGTTCTGACAAAAAATAAAAAAATAAAATAAAAAATTGGAAAATGGTCAAAACCGTTCGAACGGTTAGCCAACTGGTTCAGCGGTTTGCTGACCAAAATCAACGGTTTTGGGGGAAAAGCGGTTTTGGAGGAAAACGGAATCCGTCAAGTGACCGGTTCCCGGTTTTTATGGTCCGATCATCCGGTCCGGTCCGGTCCGGTCTGATTTTGAAAACAGTGGCTAAATGTACATTTCTGAAATTTCAAGATGATAAAATGTCGTACTTAAAAATTCAGACCATGACACTATCCCAAAATTACTGTTCTTCAATGTTGTGCTGGACGGTTTTCGAAAGAGAAATGTCTTCTTCAATGTTTTGTGCTAATTGGACGGTCATGATTGACGATTATGTAACGGTAATGTTTTTTTGAAGGTGGCACCACATGAACAAGTTTCTTGAAACGGGAAAGATGCATTGAAACCGAAGAAGTTTTCTTTTACAAACATCGATACATACAAATACAATTAATATAAGACATTTGCGCTGACGGGGTGCCTATATGGCACGCAAGCGCTTAACTACATTTGCCCTGCAATATTTCTGTCATTTCATTATACAAGTCTATCTTCCCAATGATTTTAAATCAAGCAAAATTAAATAAAGAAAAACATGAAGAACGATATGTTGATAATTGAATGAAATAAATGATTGTTGAAGGCGAATGATAGCCCCTGTCAAACCCAGAAATGCAAAAAAGGCAAAACACACCCGTTTGGCACTTTAGTAAAACACCAAAGGGCTCAATGATGACCCAGCAGCATAGCAGACGTCCAAAAGTCGATTGTTTCCCAAAGACAAGAGGCCCTATTTATAGGTGTGGGGAAAAAATATCACTGTTAGGGGAATCCCAACTTGTTTTTAGCATCAAATGGACCTATTCTGCTTATTGGATCCATTACTTGCGTGCCAGAAAATTTTCAACTATCTAACCAACCTATTGACATTGTCAAGCAAACTATGCTGCATGGCAATAGTTTGTTCAACAATAAAACAGGCAATTCACAAATAAGAAAAAACAGCATTAAAGACACTTTTACCCATCTGGCCACTCGGATCAAACTGCGATTTGGAGTTTTCTTTTTGCACTTTTTCTTGGGATGACAATTCAGGGAAGAAAGATGGATTGTGAGAGCGAATTTGGATTGATGTAAGACAAAGATAATGGAAGAGAACCAAGAAAAAATCTTTATTTTACTAAGAAGTGCTAATTTATATAAAGAAATACAATCAAGGAAATCTTTATTTTATTACAAAAGGACTAACATGAGTGAAAATGAAAATAGAATAGAGATCTAACAGTGAAATCAGTGAGCGAGAGCACAAGTTATTTGAGAGATAAATCTGCATGAGGAAAAAGAAGGGGTGTAGAGAATGAATAAACGATAAGAATTTGTCATTTATGTATGTAATCTGTTTAGTGTGAAGGTCAATGCAGTGACAGAGAAGGTACCATGAAATAATCAAAGAATTAAGATAAATAATTCCGTATTAATTGAATCTGATAGGAAGGAAAGCCCGAATCTCAATCCGCATGCAACATTCGTAATTCACCAAGTTCCCAAGGTACCAGAATGGCACGGTCAAGAAAGCTCGAAATAGCAACACTATTGTGAAGATTTGAATCACAAATAAGCAGAAATGGTTATTGATACATTCAAATCTGGTTGTTAATTGAGGGTCCAGATGTAGTAGTAAGTACAATGAGTGAGCAGTAATAGTTGTGTGACACATATCTCAGTTAATATGTTTTTTCTCCAAACGTTTTTTGTTCCCTTAATTAGACGGAGATTATCTTTTGTTTTATTATTTTTATCAAAATAATTAAAATAAAAAACAATGAAAAAGAAAAACATAAATGAATCTTTTGAATTCTAAGAATATCTTTACAAGTGAAGGAGTTCAAGGAATATCTTTTGAATTCTAGGAAGACACAATCTGAAATGTGACAAAGTCGACAAGGATAGTGAAATGCTTTCCAAGTTTTAGTAAAAGCAAGAGATTTCCAAGAATTAGATAAGAGGAGAAGAAATAGCGGAATTGGATACTTAAGTGGTGAAATTCACGTGTGGCAAAATTTTGCATCTGAACACCTTGAACACGAGTTATTTTACAAAAGGGTAAAATAGATATTTGAAAAAGATTTATGCATCAATTTAACGTTTTCTGTCTATAAGGGAAGAAAGGTTTTTGTCGAATTCTTAAACTTTTTAAGAATTCAACAAATAAAAAGTTTAGGAGAGATTTTTGTTAAAGTAAAACTATAGGCGAGGTTTTTGTAATTTATCCTATTTTTTATTCTTAATTTAGTAACTTTTCCTTATTTATTTCTGCTCTATATGAAACAGTTTCCTGTCCTGGAATCTTTCTTCTCTCCCTCGGATTCCAAACAGTGGATCTAAACTTCGTTCTTTAACTTTATTCTCTTGAGTTGTTTGTTGTTGCAGCCTTGCAGTTTTCTCTGCTACGAACCCATACAAGAGTGATTTCTGGATTCAATTTGAATTCGTCGACTTCTCTGAGAGTGTTATTGGAAGCAAAATATTTTCTTGTATCCGTCTTTGATTCGGTGAGTGCGGCTACTTACGGCTTTTTTTTTTGTCTTAATTCCACTTTGGGTATTTTTTTCTTCAGCTTATGATGGGTTTTGCCTGAGTAAATTGGTTTTGGGGATTATGATGACTAACCCTTAGAGTTAGACACCCGGCGAGACCGACAGAGGAACAATTGAGGATGCAGTGTGGCGAGGGACTTAATCTTAACGTGTTTATTCCTTCCTTAAAATGCTCGTCCAATCATCCTGACTAATTTTTGAAGGATTACGGTTATAGCTGTTTGTGTTTATTGATGTAAACTAGTGATGTTTATGATCGCATTAGTGGAGATAATTCTAGTATATCAAGATGAGTGTCAGGTGTACCTGCGCCATCAAATTGATCAATAATGTAAAAAAAAAAAAGAACTGAACAATTGGTTTTCAAGAGCTGAAAAATAATGTTGAGTAGCCTAGGTATTGATGAACATATACCCAAGTGGCCACTCGCTATTTCCTCCGCTTCTGCTTTTATTGATCAACTCTTCAGCTAAGAAATGCCACACGATTATTGTTTCAAAAATTGTTGCAAAAATTTAAGATCTTCTGCCAAATAAATCTTGAAAAGGTTTCACATTCAATTTTTTTTTTTTTTTTTTAATCTCCTGGTTTTTGGTTGTTGACTTTCTATTCTAATTCATTGTCAATAATATCAGGTTCAACCCCGTAATTGATTTTCTGGCTCTCTGGTACCGAAGGAAATGGCTGGACAAGTTGGTATTACCAAAACGGCAGATTCTTTTGAATACGAGCTTCTTGAGGGAGATGCTGAACATGTTAGAACTGTTGTTGCTACACCAAATCAGATTAGCCCATGGATTGATCCTGCTGCTTTAGAACTTAAACATAGGATTGGGAGGGGACCCTTTGGTGATGTTTGGTTAGCGACTCATCATCAATCCACAGAATATGATGAGTGTCAAGAAGTGGCTGTCAAGATGTTGCGTCCAATCAAAGAGGATCAGATGCTCGCCTTTCTGGATAAGTTCGAAAATTTGTTTTCTAGGTGCCAAACATTACAAGATGTCTGTCTGCTTAATGGTATCACTATCAAAAGTGGAAGAGTAAGTTAAGTCTTCCATTTAAAATGGATGGTTTCCACGGCTATTCTTTACTTATAGCTTTGCATATAATTAGATTGTTTTTTTGTTGCTGTTGCCTTGACAGATCTGCATTGTTATGAAGTTCTATGAGGGTTCATTGGGAGACAAAATGGCTCGTCTCAAAGGAAATAAGCTTTCCTTGCCCGATATCTTGAGGTGATGTTGGGGTGGGACTCTGGGATGGTATTATGGTATTTTATTCATATGTGGCATTTTTTTTTAATTTTCATTTCTTCCTATGAATTGGAAATATATAATATACTTCTCAAGTTCTGCTAATGTCCACAGGTATGGAATTGAATTGGCTCAGGGAATTTTAGAACTGCACTCAAAAGGGATCCTGGTTCTAAACTTCAAACCTTTCAACTTCCTTCTAAATGAACATGACCAAGCAGTCCTTGGAGATTTTGGTATTCCTTTTCTACTTCTTGGGATTCCGTTATCCAGTTCAGATATAGCTCTTAGACTTGGAACTCCAAACTACATGGCTCCAGAGCAATGGGAACCAGAAATAAGAGGCCCAATATCCTTTGAGACTGATTCTTGGGGGTTTGCATGCAGCATTGTGGAGATGTTAAGTGGGGTTCAACCCTGGTGTGGGAAATCAATAGAGGAGATCTATTGCTCAGTGGTAACAAAACAGGAAAAACCACATATTCCAAATGGTTTGCCCCCTGCACTTGAGCATGTTGTCAGTGGTTGCTTTGAGTATGACTTTCGAAATCGGCCTCTGATATCAGACATCTTAAATGCATTCAAAAGGTAAATTTTGAAGATTTCATTCTGTAATATGAACCAACTATGATGAACTTGATGGAAATTAAGGTCCTTTGTAACATCTTGCCACCTTAGATGATATTGCCATGCATGATATTCTGTTACCTCTGACCTTATGAACGATTTTCAAATTTCAATTGCTAATCATCAATGTACATTCTTTTAGCTAACACAACAAATTGATATTAACATCAAACTCAAATTGCATGAAATTGTTTATTTTTGGCTACAAGTTAACACTTGCTACATTAGAGGTATTAGTTATGTTAAACACCCACTACTAGCTGCATTTCTAAAATGAGAAAAATAAATTGGCAGGAGTTGAACATTTAGGAAATTTTCCAACTTTGATATTGAGTTATTATTTCAGGGAGTTGGCTTCTTAGGGTAGGAATAATGGGATCAACCCCATCCTCAGTTGGAGATTACAAAGGGTTATCGAATTATGAAAATTAGTTTTCTGCCTCTTGGGTTGTTGTCATGTTCTTAATTTCTTATCAAAAGTTTCAAGTTAGTCAGTTGCTTGGTTAATTTTTTTTTCAACCTTGAGGGTGATAGTGATGCCAGATAGTTATTTCTTACCTTTCTACTATGAGCACAATATTTTCTAAGTTTTAATTTAGTAAATCTTGATATGGTTCTATTCTATCCAAGAAATCTCCAATCTCAAAGTTGTGAAATAATGTAGGTGGTGGGCTATTGGGCTGCCTATGATTGGGGAGGGGATTGTGGGTGTGAGACACAAATATGGATGGTTGAGGAGATCTGCATGCAATAATATTTCAAAGTTATAATGTCAATTATAAAAAATGCATATCTGTGAAAAATAAAGCCTTAACAGGAGAAAGGAGTACAACAAAGAAAAAATAATGGAAATTACCTTTTTAATATAATACACTTACTTTTACCTTTGAGGAAAAAACCAGGGAAGGAAAGTAACCAAAATTTAAAAATTGTAGAATACAGTTCTTAAATCATTTGGACTGCTTCTGTTAGTGCTTATTCTTCACACTCAAACAATATCAGAAAGTAGTGTTTTTCCATCCTTTTTGTATTAATCTTCATAACTTGAAAAACAATTTTGCAGCTCTCAGAATGCAGTTCACAGTGGTGGAAGGTGGAGGCGTCTGGGAAACATGACACTGACAGATAAATCAATTATCAGTGGTTGCACTGAGTGGTTCCTTTCAAAAGATCATCTTCAAGTAGGTGATACAGTGCGGTCCAGAAAATCCCCAAATTCATGCAAACCAGAAAGCATGCACATTCCAGAGGGAACTGTTGTTGGTATGGATAGTGATGGGTTCGTCTTGGTGAGGGTCCATGGAGTACATGATCCTTTAAGAGTCCACACATGGACATTAGAGCGGGTCACATCTGGCTTGGCAGCAGGGGACTGTGTTCGGGTGAAGGAGGAAGACAAAAAACACTCACCTGTGGGCATTCTGCACTCCATCCAGCGAGATGGCAGTGTAGCCGTTGGCTTTATAGGAGTAGAGACTCTCTGGAAGGGATGTTCTTCGGAGCTCCAAATGTCAGAACTATACTGTGTGGGTCAATTTGTGAGGCTGAAGGCAAACATCTTCAGCCCTCGATTTGACTGGCGTCATAAAGAGGGAGGAGAATGGGCCACCGGGAGGATTTCACAGGTTCTACCTAATGGATGTCTCGTAGTCAAGCTTCCGGGGAGGCTAGTTTTCAGAGGTTCATGCAATAGTTTCTTGGCTGACCCAGCAGAAGTGGAAGTGGTATCTTTCAGAACATGTCCTGGGGTAGTAAAGAAGTACCAACACCTGGAGGATTTTCACTGGGCTGTTCGGCCGCTTGTAATTGCATTGGGTCTATTTACAGCAATGAAACTTGGTTTCTTTGTTGGGAAGACTTTGGGGAGGGCAAGGAGGAAGAAGGGCCAGAATATTTTGATCCAAGGGGATGATCACCAGACGGATGGCCAGATTGGTGTGAAACCTGGGTGGCTTCCTTCACCAGTAGCAAATGTACTTTTCAGGGAAGGGGTTGCTACTAGGTAGTTGTTCAAAGTTTCCTTTGGTCATGGTTGGCACTGTTTGCTGAAACACATGGAGGAGAACTGATTCACTGAACAAGTTTTCTATTATATGCTGAATATGATTGAAAGCAGAACCGAAGTAAGAAATGGTTGTATATATGCTTATTTACTGACTGGTGTTATAACTTGTACGTGATTTCTGTAAATACGTTTACTTGGATTTTCTCTGTAAGAATCTGTACAGCCTTATGCTACAGAGGAACTTCTGTGTAGTAATATGTTATGCTACAGAGGAACTTCTGTGTAGTAATATGTTATGGTGCAGAGGAACTTCTGTAAGAATCCTCCAACTTACCCATTGTCTCTAAACAGATGAGCAGATGCATCTGCCAGTGGGCAATTTGTTTGTACTGGTAAAACTCAGATTACAATGCACCCATTGTCTCCAATCACAAGGGGCACCCGTTACATACTGAATACATAAGAAACCGGATTATCCCCCCCCCCCCCTACAGTTAATCCTGCAAATTGTGGCAGTTGCTTTTTATTTTGGAAAGCAAAATCTCAAACCCGAAATGATGAGTAAATGGCACATCCAACAGCCTCAAATTCAGGTCAATTTTGCCTAAGAAAAAAGAGAATTCATTTCTTCAATGTGTGAGCCCAATCACTTTAGTGGGCCAACCCAAAAGGACTTTATGAAGTTTCTTGTCAGTTGTCAAATGTCTGTTCTCGGGAATATCCTGGCGTTCTGGCGATTTCAGAAGTTGTAAATCAATGAAATTTATGGAAGTAAACTTGCGTTCTAAGCCAGACACCCCAACTCATGGAATAACCTAACTTGGTTAAATCAATGGTTAATACCAGGATTTGTCAATCTCTTAATGAAGCAGTTCATGATAAAGTATTGTCTTGTTAAAAATGAAAGAGTAAAAAGACTTGAATATACCCTGAGTTACTAACAAATTGACTCAAAGATACCCTGAAGTTTTAAAATGGATTGAAACTCTTTTTCCCTTTATCTTCTTTCAAATTTTCAAAAAGAGCCAAGAATGACACAACAGAAAATTTCCTTCAAACAAATAAGTCATAGGTGGAGAATCACGATTCTGTTTTGGTTTGAACAAAGTGCTTTCTTTGCTTTAAAGCCAAAACAGCATGGCTGTCTTAGAATGGCGAGTTCTTGTTCAAGATACCTCGAGGTTTTAAAAGGAATAGTGAGTTCTTGTTCAAACAAGAACTTTGTGTCTTTTCCAGATTTATGAACAAAAACGCCCTTGAATGGGGCATAGTGACGGCTGATGGCTTGAGTTTTGGTTGCAATTCTCCAGTGATCTTTTTCTAAAAGAAATTCCAGTGGGGTTTTTAAAAGAACCCATCAGTGAGTTCTTGTTCTACCAGTGAAGATAAAAAATAAAAAAATAAATAAAAAATAAAAAACTCACCAGCAGGGAATCACAACTGGTGGAGAACCAATGAAAGAAATTCCAGCTGTTTTGGCTCAGTTATATTGAACAAGAACTCAACAGTGGAGAACCACAACTGTCTGATCTAATCCAACTATTCCTTCTCTCTGTTTCCATCCGTCCTCTCAATTTCTTCAATCTTCATCTCCTCTCTCCATGGAAGAAGAGGCATGCCAACAGATGAGAATCTCATCGAAGAGCATAGGAGGTAAAAATAATATTTTAATTTTTGAGTTCACACTATGATGAGGGTATATTTAAGTCCAGTGGGGTCAGCCTACAAGGCATATCTGAGTCTATTTTAAAACCTAAGGGTATGCTTAAATCAATTTCTAAAAACTCAGAGTATGTTCAAGTCTTCTACCCAAAATGAAACAGATATATCACTGGGAAAAAGTAAATGGTGTTGACTGTCTCCTACTAAAGAAGGAAAGAAAATGAAAGGAGAGAAGAATATACAAGCTTGTGATTTTCACTCATGGTACAACAAAGGAAATATGAAATATGGATGCATCTGGGTATCTTGTGCCAACATTGTTTGTAGGAACCAAAAGAACCACCAATAATGCTCCTTCTAAAGTAAATCCTGATTCACTGGCTAATCAATCAGTTGGATATATCTAAGAAAAGCCAAATTGCTACATCCTCCATTACATCACTGATCTGCAACACCAACGATACCAGCCTCCTTGACAAGTTGTTCTGTTAGAGCTGAAATCCGGGCAACTTCTTTTTGGGCTTCAATAAGGCATTCATTGTTCTCAATCACACTTGTCCTAGGATCATTGCCTGGCTCAGGGAAGACAAGAGTATCAATGTCAACCTCTGCACAGAAGCTAGCCTTTTTCAAAAGCTCCCTGCTCATATCAGCAAGTTTACGGAGTGCACTAGTTGCTGCTTCAACTTCCAGTTGAGTAGCCTCTAGTTGCAGTTTTTCAATTGCCAACTCCCCTATGCTCTTTTCACCAATCCTCTCCTGAGCAAGAGCGTATAGTTTCTTTAGCCCATCAGCATCTTCCACCTCTTCCTTCATTCTCTTCAATTCCTTCTCTCTTGCATCAAGTCTGTCGAGAACCGCTTTGAGCTCCTCCTCTTTGACAATTAGAGCCCTCTCTCCAGCCAGAACTTCCATCTCTTTTATCCTAAGGCTTTCTCTGGCCAACTCAAGCTCGGCTTCCAGCTGTTTATTCTTCAATGCAGTGTCGCCTGTTGGTTTTTCTAGTATATGCTGCAGAAACTTGTCTTCCATCTCAGGCAATAGGATTTCCTTGCTAAGTGTGTCTAAAGCATAATCCTCTTCATCCCTCACTGAAATAACTAATTTGTTAGTTAGTTCTACAATCCGTTCCACCACAGTAGCAGCTTCTGAATACTTTAGCTTTGTATCATCCAGCTGATGTTGCATCATCTGAACATGCATATCTTTCTCCTTTAGCATATTTGTCGCTTGAATAAGCTGTTCTTCCTTACTGCTCATGAGCATCTTCAACTCAGCAACTTCTTTACTTAGCTCCTCCAAGTTTTTCTGTGCATCATAGAGATCCATATCCTTTTCTTCCAAAAGAAGCTGAATAGAAGCCTGTTCAGACTTTAAATGTTGGATTTGAAGCCTGGCCTCCACTAAAGTTGACTCTTTAACCTGAAGAAGATTCTGTGCTTCTTCAAACTCAAATGTTTTCTGACCTAACTCCTCCTGAAGCAAGGATATATCTTGCATTGCCTGTTCCATAGAAGACCTCTCTTTATTCAATTCTTTCTGTAGCTGTTCTATCAATTCTTTCTCCATGGATAAATCCCGTTCAAGTGCCTTGTTTTGAGCCTCTGCAATCCTAAGCTTTGCCCTTTCACTTTCTACTTCTGTTTGAGCATCTTTTAAACCAGACATGTAAGACATCACGATATCCCTTTGTTCTTCAAGCTCTACTAGTTGCCTCTCAAGTTGGTGTTCTTGCTCTTCCATTTTCCTTCGAGAAGAAGCTAAAGACTTTTGAGAAGACATCAATTCAGATCTCACATCAACAAGAAGCTTCTTCACTCTTCTAAAATCCTCCAGAGTTTCATTAGCATCTCTCATGTGTTTGGCTGCTTCCTCTCTCAGTTTCTCTAGTTCCTCTTGTGCCGATAGCCACTCCACTGTCTGCTTCTTCAAGTTAGCTTCTGCTAGTTTTAGTTTCTCTTCCTCAATTTTCTTCAGTGTAACAGAAGCTTCTAACTCTTGCACCTTCTCTCTGATCAACTTCTGAAGTTCTTGAATCTCAACCTTTTGTTTTCTGATGATTTCATTAGCCTCACTCAGGAGCTGATCTCTAGATTGAAGATCACAAGCAATCGTGGCAGCCTCCTCAGTCTTCTTTGTCAGTTCAGTTCTCATTTTATCCATCTCTTCTTGTTTCAAAGATAGTGCAAACTGTGCAGCTACTACCTTCTCATCCCTCTCCTGTACCATTAATTTTAGATCTTCAATTTGCCTGGCTTGAGAAGCTAGGTTGTTGTTGGCTTGCTTCAGCTCTTCTTCCAGTTTTTCCTGCCTGCAAAGAGCAGAAGTAATTGCTTCTTCTCTCTTTTCCAACTCCTGCTTTGTATGGTTTAACTTGGCATGCTCAAACAATACCTTCCTCTCTGCATCCTGAAGATCTTCCTCCTTTTTCCTCAAGGCTGTCAGAACGGCTTGAAGATCAGACTCCAAAGTTTCAAGGTTAAGTCCCAGTTGAATGTCCTTGGAGAAGCTAGAATCTCTACTGATCTGTTCCTCTAGTTTCTGTGTTTGTGCAAACAATCTTTCTAGAAGAACCCTTGCTGGTTCTGTTGCTCCATTACCATTGTTATCTATGCATGACGTCCTGTTACCTAAGATTGATCTGGTCATCTGTATAGAACACTTCTTCCCATTTCGAGTTCCTATAATAGCTGACTTCTTTTGTTTCCTGACGAGTCTCAGAAAGGACAACTGCAAAAAGCATTTAACACTTAAATTCTCATATTTTTGAAATGTGTTCAACAATGGATCCAAATTATAAGTCAAGTCAATTATAGAATACTTAGAAAGAAAACAAGAAACCGAGGTGCTTACTTGTTACTTCCACAGTTTCACATGAAAAACGTGCATGCAAGATAAACTAGGGAGTGGTTTAGTTACATATTTTGTTATTGAAACTTGCTTCTGCCATCAGTCGAATAAGAATAACCCATAAAATCCTAACAGGCCCTTTTGATCTATTTGATTCCAGGCAATCTCCCATTGAGCCCGCTAAGCAACATACAATTCTGCAACTCAGCTCTTCAAAAATAAATTTCTATGAATTAACCAGTTTGCTACGGGTCTAATCGATAAAAGATGAATCATATTCAATAAAGCTCATTTGGATAAAACCCTTTGATAGAGGACGAAAGGGTGAACCTACATAAACTTCTTTTATCTAAATTAAGAAGCCAAGAAACATTTAAGAACCTAACTGAGAATTGAAGCCGTGACTAAGAAGCGTTAAAAAGACAAACTCACTAGCCGAATCTATGGTTTTGACATATCGACCATTTATCCTGAACTCCAAACTCACTAGACAAACTCATCGCTATTTATGCATCAAACATTTGTCCTGAACTCCAAATGCATCGAAAAGGCGCAAAAACCCTAAAATCTTGATCAGTTTAAACCACACTCTTGAAGGTTACAACATTTCTAAAGCTCCGCCAAACCAAGAACAAGAACGCTACCGCATAACTTTTCTTTTAAAAAGATTGGCAAAAGAAAATTTGTTAAGGACCTTGAGTCAAGAACGAATGAGAAGTTGAAAGAATGAAACAGGAAAGAAGAACGAGAGAGAGAGAGAGAGAGAGAGAGAGAGGAAGCACTTTTGAATGTCGATGAGGCAAGCTGGTCGAAAAATTGGCCTGAAAAGCAGCCGAGAACGACATGATTCGACTCTCCAGCACATTCGTACGCGCAAAAGACCATCGAAGATCCGTCGAGAAAGCCGAAATTGGATCAACCAGTTCGAGGGCGAGCGAGAGTGCGCGAGAGATGCCTTCAAAGTCGAGGAAGGGATTCTGGAGGGAAAACTAGACGAGAAGCTCAGAATCAGAAATTTCTCTCTTCTATTTCTGATAGTGTGATTTTGGCCAAAAAGCTAAAAAAGCAAAACGTGCGCCGCGTGGACGCTGTCACTTCACTTCTCCGTAATTTTTTAATTTTTTTCATGGGTGGTAATACCGTTGCGCGACCCTTAAATACCCCTGATATGAAATCTACACAAGAAGACAAAAATACCTCTGATATGAAAATTATACACGTCAACAAAGCGGGGTTCTATCAGTCATTTCACCAGGAGCCCCGAGCCCCCGACTTATCAGAACCACAAAAATGTGCTAATCTCAGCGAGGTAACGTGGGCCAATATTGGATCCTGATAGGAAGTTGGGCGGCTTGAAAGTCATCTGATACTGGGCCCACTAGTGTAGCTAATGGACCTAAGATAGAAGGAAAACAAGATTCTAGCCTCACTGGGCTGGGCCCGGGCGACTTTGGATGAAAGCCTGGTAGCTTTTTGAATTTGTCGTGGAAGGGTTTAGGGAGGATTATCATTAATCCTTTTTCTTGTGTGTATGGCACATGTACAAATCATCCTACACCAGACACAAGCAGCAACATCGTGTCAATTAAAATGGGTCCCACGCTCCATGGAGTCAGGATCTTTTTGTTTTGTGAAGAATGACATGTCTGTTCCGTTATTGTAACGTAACATCAACGCAGGGCTTGGTGCGACGTGCTTGATAGTCAACCAGAAGGAGATGCATCGATTTCAAGGTGTTAATTAGTTGTCTTTATGGATCTTTGGAAGAGCATAGGCCATGTGGGCCCGTGGAAAGCATATGGGCCAATCCCTCATCAATCTTCGCCATTCTGTTGGCCCATCCATGTCCACACAAGTATATAGCGTCACGTCCAGACAGTCACAGTCCCTTTTATGTTTGGCTAAACTTTGTCCAGGTACTGTCCAGTGTCCACCTCTCGTTCTGACCGTGAAAACCGTCAAGACTCAAGACTCGAGAGCAATTCGGCTAATCCACATATCAATATCGACCTCGTGGTCTTGGGCTCTTGCCCCACCTTCGTAAATGGGCTGTCTACTAAATTACCCAGAAAAGCCATGAAGCTCTTTTGGATCATGGTTTTTAAAACCGGACTGAAAAACCGGGAATCGGTTAGGTGATCAGCTCCGTTTTTCTCCAAAGCCGGGTTTTTGCAAAAAAATGTTGATTTGATCAGAAAATCACTGACCCGGACAGTTGAACCATTTAAACCGTTCAATGGTTTTGACTTTTTTATTTTTTGTCAGAACAGTTGGACCATTCAACCCGAGAACCGGACCCTGACCGGTTCGTTGTCCAGGTCAGTTTTAAAAACCTTGTTTTGGACCCACAAATCTGAAAGCCATATATCCAAACATTATCCCTATAATAAGGCAGTGTTTGGTCTTTTGGACTTCGCCAAGTTTGAAAGATAAAAAAACATTTTTTTTTCTTGTTTGGTAACCAAAAGCTGGTAAGAGTTGTGTAGATGCATAAGGATGAAAGACCCAAAAAGACCAAAAATGTCAAATTTCGGGAAGCTTCAAATGAAGTTTTCTTGTTTTTCTATAAAAACTGAATAGATTGAGCCACTTGCCGAATGGTCTATCTTTTAAAGACAACCCCAAATGGTCTATCTTTTAAAGCACATGAACATGTGCTGATTTGCTAGGTAGCAATTGATATCAAAACAGAAAAGCATCTGCCAAATTCATTCAAGGCAATGATATTGACAATTTTATATCTCGGAAGCACAATACTTTAGATCAACTAAAATGCAAATAGGGCTTTAAAAAAAACAAAAAAACTTAAATGCAAATAGCAATTGTCAATAGTGATGGGTCTCTGTCAAGTATACCACCAAACAAACTAGTTGATAAAACCCATTACAATTTGGGGCTAGAAACTAAAAGAAAAAAATTCATCCAGTCATAATAGAGGGCAAGCCAGGTCTCATCTCCAAAATCCCAATAAATTCGAATTTGAGACACTTCCAAGCAATCATGGAAATTGAAAAATTTTGTATCTACTTCCATTGGCATATCTCAATTACAACACTGACAGGAATACAGGAAACGATCTCAATTCAATGGTTAGATCTACAATCCAGTGTAGAGAGTTCATACAAATAAGGGAAGTAATGTACCTTCCTCAACTTTAATGTATTCCTTGCTCTCCAACCTGCACTGCAGATCTCAGACACCCAAATATCCACGTTCAAACACCTTAGCTTGGCATATTGCCTCCACGCCTCCATTTCCTCAGAAAGAAAAACTGCACCCTCAGCACATGGTTCAGGTAGAAATTAAGCCAATCAAAGGCAATAAATAGAGAGATGCACCATCCATGTAAATAAAAAATACACCCAACTTAGACTATCTACAATCTGGTGTAGCCGTATTCAATGGAGAGTCCCTGATGCTTCTAGATTGGGTGTAGGTGAGCTGCCGGGGCCCATCAGGTTTTTTCTTTCGTCGAGCTTGTTGAGATGAACGGGAATGATATGTTAAGATTGCAAAGTCTTTGAGATCCTGCAATGGGGTCAGACCCTTTACAACTTCATCCATGGATGGGCGAGTTTTAGGGTCCCTGCTGAGGCAGTAGTAAGCTAACTGAGCAACCTTCTGCACCCCTTTAATGGAGTAGTTAAGTTCCAACCGAGGATCCACTAGCTGGTAAAGCTTTCGCTTGTCTGCCAAATGTGGTCGGGCCCAGGCAACAAGATTTTGCTCCCCACTGGGTCGGTTCTTGTCCATTGATCTTCTACCCGTTAAAATCTCAAGTAACACAACACCAAAGCTGTAAACATCACTTTTAGATGTCAAGTGTCCTGCAGAAAATAGAACCAGAAGCATTATCACTTCATCTTGATTCCAAAGATTTCTGCGATGAAAAGAAAGTCAAAAGGATTGGAGGAAAAATAATAAAAATAGCAAGAATAATCTTACTTGGTGTATTAGGTTCTTGGAAAATTCTGAACTACTCATCAAATTCAACTATTTGAAACCTACCTTTCACAAGTAAATGATACAAATATTGCCTGTAGTATTATATATAAAATGACTGGTTCAAATGCTCATTAACCTTTGAGGCCCCATTCATTTTTTGGACCCTAAATGGGGGAGGGGGCAGTCGGTCAATGGGATTGTGGTTCCCATTGACTGGGTAAGTGATACCCTTCTACTAGGTGGATAAGTAGCTTTCCCACCTGGAGGAAGAGTTAACAAGATGTGTTGAGACAATTTTGCCCATTTTAACAATGATTTTTTATGGATAAAAGAATCATTGTATGGTTTCTGAAAAAAGACCAGGGCCTCATGATTGGTAAAGTCCAAACCTTTGCCTTTGTGTACTGAATAGACCACGCTAATACAATATCGTATTTTCAACATCTAATTAAATCACGACCAAGGGAAATAGATAGTCCATCAATTGGTATTTTATGATCACATGATTAATTCTTGTACAAGACAAGATTGAAAAGAATTCAGTGAAATCTTCCTTAGGTTGAAACACACATGCCAGAAAACAAATCATGGGTACATCTACTATTAACACAACAAGAAAATGAAGCCAGTTTCTCCAGGAAAAAAAAAAAGACTCTCACTAATAATTTGTGGAAATGAGATAGGTTTTATATAAGCAAAAAAAAAAAAAAAGGTCTGGTGATAAAGGATGCACAGAGAAGTCTGGGTCCCAAATAACTTTCCATGTGTTGCTTGATCAGAAGGGATTGCGATTTCTTACTGGACCAATCCCACTTGAGAGATTAACTGCCAAATCATCTTGAACAGACAACTACGCCCATTTATTTAATGTACGAATTCTAATAGTGAAAATCAAAGTTCTCTTAAAAACCAAGAAACTATTTCAATATTGATACAAAGATGAGATGACAAAAAATCTTACTGCTGATGTAGGTAATCTCATACATGAGACCAGTTCAGCAAGGAACCTGATCTCTAAATATGGAACATGTGGCAGGGAATATATGGCCCTTTGCCACTCTATGTAACATGGAGTTAAAGAACCTGTAGTTGCAATAGAAGACTGCTTCCTTTAGAAGAGAAAGACCCAATATCGGGTGTGTTGAAATAACTTAGTTTATTTAAGTTTAGTGCCCCAAGGGCACCTTTGTATTTTTATCCTTTCTTTTTTCTGTATGGTCGCCCTAGTATAAATACCAATTAAACTGGCGCCACCAGTTGACTTTTGTCTCTCCCAATTCTGTCTCTCTCCTCTCTTTTCTCTCTTCTCTCTTCTCCTTCTTCTCTTCTCTCTGTTCTGGAATCATACCATCTCAGCACCAAGAAAACATGGTATCAGAGCAGCAGATCCAATCTTAGGACCAGGGCGGCAGATCCAATCTCCTCTTTCCTTTTTTGTCTATTGCTGATTGAACCAAAGAACAAGATCGCTGGTGGACGTGTGAGGAAGCTCACTGCAAGACAGCTCTTTCCTCTTGGTTGTGAGCCCAGAAATTATCAGGGGAGAGAAAAATCGAATGCTGTGAATCAGTTTCGAATACTGTGAGTTTTTTTTTTTTTTTTTTTTCTTCATCAGTTCTGTGGATCGAACTGATCCTTTTGTACCCAGATCAGTGGGTTATGTGGGTCTAATGACCTGTGGCTGGTGAGAGAGTTTCTTCTCTCAATGTATGTGGATCAAGTGATCCTTCCTATGCCCTGAAAGGTGTGCTTTCTTCAAGACTGCATATCTGTAACTGCTGTGGCAGCAGTTTATTTCCTTCTATTTACATTGAACTTAAGTTACTGTGAGAAAGTTGATTTATTGCTAGAGGGAATGGTCAGATCTGTTTCTTTGATATACCTTACACATCCGAAATGGTGTGTGATCAGTCTAAAATGGTTCAGTAAAGAAAAAAAATTCTGAGAACAGTAATGGTGTGTGACCAGCTTTGATCTCTGTGTGAGAACAAGTTTCTCGTGTCCAGAAGTGACTGAACTGAGACGACAACCTGTTTTTTGACTGTACTGTGAGTCTGAACTGAATTGAAAAACTTGTTCTCTAGCTAGATTGTGACTGATCAGATTCAGCTTCTATGTCTTCTGAAGATTCTGGTATGTCTGGTGTTACTTCTAGTCAGAGTGGGATGAGCAGAGGTTTTGACATGAGTTTTCCCATGGCTGTGATTCCCTTTGATGGCCTCAATTACCTAGAATGCTTAAGGGGAATCAAGCTACATAACTGCAAGGGGAAAAGCAGGGTATATCAATGGCAGAATTAGAGAACCCTAGTCGAGTGGTGTGGAACATGATAGGTGGGACTAGGAAAACAGCATGGTGATGTCATGGCTGTTATTGTCTATGCTGCCACAAGTGAGAAACACCTTCATGTGGGCAGAAACAGCTCATGAGATATGGGAGCAAGCACAGTCTACATACTCCGAACAACGGCATTATGCTAAAATATATCAGTTGCAGGCTGCCTCCTCAACTTGTAAACAGGGGGAGAGGAATCTCTCCGCCTACTATTCAGACCTGACTTCTGTTTGGAAGGAACTTGACCACTATCAGAATATAGACTGGAGGTGTGATGCAGATGCCAAAGCATACAAGTCTCTGGTTTCACAGCAAAGAGTGTTTGCCTTTCTCCTAGGGATGAATCCTATATATGAATCTATCAGGATTCAGATATTGGGGGGTAAAGACCTCCCATCCGCACAAGAAGTATATTCTCTAGTACAGTCAGAAGAGAGCAAACGGAATGTGATGAATAATCCTGGGGGGGAGCATGTTGCTTTAGCAGCTAAAGGGGGTGTTGCTACGGGTAGTGGAAATTCCTTCAAGAAGAGTGACTCCCAGAAGAAAGTTGATGACAAAGATAAGCTATGGTGTACACATTGTCAGAAGACTAGGCATACTCGGGAGACATGTTGGGAGCTTCATAAGAAGCCAAGGTGGGCTCAGGAAATGAGTAAAAAGCCGGATCAGAATAAGAAGCCAGGACAACAAGGTCAGAGAAAGTTTAATGCAGCAAATTTAGCCTCTCAAGAGCCTCAATCATCTACCACTACTATGAGTCCTTTCGGGACTGATCCAAGGGAAGATATCATTAATTCTTTCCGTGACCATCTGGAATTGTACGGGAGGGCAATCCGCCAGATGGATTCTGCCTCTCCATCCTCGACTTCCTTTGCATCTACATCAAGTAACGGTAACTCTGCCATAGCTTTCCATGTGTCCTCTCATCCCCCAGACTCCCCTTGGATAATAGATTCTGGAGCCTCAAACCATATGACGGGTAAGTTCAATTGTTTTCAATCTTATCATCTATTATTTGGACGGGACAAGGTGAGACTTGCTGATGGTTCTTTCTCCACCATAGCTAGTCAAGGAACCATCTCCCTTCCACTTGGACTCACCCTCTCTGATGTTCTACATATTCCTAAACTACCCATAAATTTGTTCTCTGTTAGTAGTATAACAAATTCGATGAACTGCTCAGTAACATTTTTTCCTTCCTCTTGTGTGATACAGAATTTGGCCTCGGGGAAGATGATTGGTAGAGGTCGTATGGTAGATGGTCTTTACATGCTAGAGAATAAAGTCTGTCTTGCGACTATTGAGTCTAAGAGTTTGTCTAATAAGAGTCGAGTCCTTTTATGGCACAGTCATTTGGGTCATTTATCTTTTGAGTCATTGAAAATTTTGTTACCATATTTATTTAAATCAGTGTCAGTGTCAAATTTCACATGTCAATCTTGTCAGTTGAGAAAACATTGTAGAAATCACTTTACTTCAAGAAATAATACATCTGATTTTCCTTTCCATATTGTGTATTCTGATGTTTGGGGCCCTGTTACTTTAACATCCGAGTCTAGCTATAAATATTTCATTACACTTATTGATGATTACTCCCGATATACATGGGTGCCCTATGCGGTCCAGAGATGAGGTACCAAAAATCATTAAAGATTTCCAACGCTTGATATTCACTCAGTTTCAAACGGAAATCCAAATTTTCCAATCAGACAATGCCAAAGAATATTTCCATAGTGATCTCACAGAGTTTTTTGCTTCGTGTGGATCCATACACCATAGCTCTTGCGCTAGAACCCCCCCAGCAAAATGGTGTGGCCGAAAGAAAGAATCGCCATCTTCTTGAAGTTGCTCGCGGGTTACTTATACACATGAATGTCCCTAAACGTTTTTGGTCGGATGTTGTGTTGTGTGCAACCTATCTCATCAACCGTATGCCATCCCGCTTGTTAGGGTACAAGGCCCCACATTAGCTCCTTTTTCCCAAGGCCCCCCTCTTCTCTATTCCTATCCGTGTTTTTGGTTGTCGTTGTTTCGTCTAGAACCTTTCTCCTACTCGTGGAAAACTTGATCATTGTACCATTCCATGTGTCTTCTTGGGTTATCCTTCTTCCCAAAAGGGTTATCGATGTTTTGATCATGTTTCCAAGAAGTACTATGTCTCTATGGATGTGTCTTTCTTTGAAAGTGACCCTTTTTTCCCGATTTCTCCTCAGGGGGAGGAGAAACCAGTTCAGGTTCAGGTTCTCCCTTCTTTACTTGATTCTCCTCCATTCCGTGTTTTTCATCGTCGCAAGAGCCATCTAAATTCAAGTGCTATGGAGCAACTTGAAACTGTACCGCTAACACCATCAGATTCACCAGGGACAGATCATATCCAACCAGGTACTATCATTCCTATTGATGTTCCTGATCCTCTTGCCATAGATATTCCTTTTGGTGATGACCTTGACATTCCCAATGCAAAAAGGGAGTTAGGTCTTGTACCACCAAGTATCCTATTACCCATTTTGTTACCTATGAGAACATCTCACCCTCCTTTCGTGCA